TAACATTTTACTATTTTTCCTAAAAATACAGATAAAATTTAAGCCTCCTTTGATTTCTTCTAGAAGTTACTATTCTAAACTTGGTGTCTGTCATTCCTATGCATGTTCCTATGCTTTTGCTACACATGCATGTATCAGTAAACAAAATATTACTTTGTTTTACATGCTTTAAACCTTTTCATAACTCTTACTATGCTGTGTTATTCTTTAATGTGTATATTTCTGCAGCCTTTTTACTTAAAATAACTGATTTTTTTCTAGATACATATAGCTTTATTACTTTTTATTGCGATGTAGTATTCCATTGTATGAATGAACAAATACTTATCAAATCAATTGATGCACATTTGGGCTGTTCCCAGTTTTTTATATTATTGCAAAGTGTTGCTAAAATGAACATTCCCATATGATATGTTTCGTTATTCATATACAAACCTAGAAGTAGAACTGCACGTCCACAGATAGACCTATTTTATTTTACCAGACCTTACCAAATTGCTTTCCAAAATGGTTGTGCCTAGTTATACCTCCCTGTAGCAGTTTTTGAGATTCTTGTGGCTTCATATCATTTTTATAGTTGGTATTGTAAGACTTTTTAATTTTTCCCAGTGTGATGGGTATGAACTGGAACCTTGTTTTATTTTTCATTTTCCTGATTTCTGGTGAGGTTGAACACTTTTTATGTAATTGTTGGTCATTTGGGTTTCCTCCCCTAGGAACTGCACTTCCACACTCCTTGTTCATTTTTCTGCTGGATATTTTTCTTTTAAAAAATTTGTAGAATTAATTGTAGCTATTAACCATTTGCTTATATTTGCAGATTTCTGCTTCCAGTCTGTGGGTTGTCATTAATTTTGTCTTTTCTTATACTGAAGTTAAAATTTTATCAGTGTATCACTTTGCCACTTTATTCTACTCTGTTTTTTGAAACTTGACCCAGCCTATAGTCACAACTTTGAGCTCAAGGTTTGCAGCTTTCTATAATATCTTACTTTCAAAAATTGTTTGTAGATAAGGCAGGGTATAAATAAATAAATAAGTAAACATGCCATACAGTTTCTCATTAAAATTTATGTAAAATTATGAATTTTTAAAAAATTATATGAGGGAGTCTCCTGGTTCAGAAATGGCAGCAAGCAGCCTCCAATGTACCCTTTTCTCATTTTTCATTAAGTTCCTATGAAGATGTAGAATAAAATCAAAATTTACCACAAAACCAAAATTTAAAAACTTCAGAAACACAGAAAGCAGGAGGCAGTACCTTAATTAAGAAGCATTTGGCCTTAGGTTGAGAGGAATTTCTCTACTTTAGCGCCTACATACCCCACCCTTGCCTCAAGATATAAACAACCTGATAAATACAGGCTAAAAGGCATTATTCTTCCCCTGTAGTCAGTTCCTTCACAGAACTCTACCAACAGCAAAATGGGAAGACATCCCTTTTTGCCTCTCAGATACTACTCTGGGAGGCAGAAACTGCTGAATTTCTTTCATTTCCTGTGTTCCCAGCAAATTTCAGGAAGCAACTAGGCAGAAGGGGAATTTGTTATGGTGTAGTAGGGTTCTCTGGAGGGACAGAACTCATAAGATAGATGTATATATGAAGGGGATTTTATTAAGGAGAATTGACTCACAGGATCACAAGGCCATCTGCAAGCTGAGGAGCAAGGAAGCCAGTCTGGGTCCCAAAACCTCAAAAGTAGGAGAGCCAGCAATGCAGCCTTCAGTCTGTCACTGAAGGCTTGAGAACCCATGGCAAACCACTGGTATAGGTCTAAGAGTCCAAAAGCCAAAGAAATTGGATTCTGATGTTCGAGGGTAGGAAGTATCCAGCATGCGAGAAAGATGAAGGCTGGATGACTCAGCAAGTCTGCTCCTTCCACGTTCTTCTGCCTGCTTTATTCTAGCCTTGCTGACAGCTGATTAGATGGTGCAACCCAAATTAAGGGTGAGTCTGTCTGCCTTTCCCAGTCCACTGACTGAAATGTTAATCTCCTTTGGCAACACCCTTACAGACACACCCAGGAACAATACTTTGCATCCTACAGTCCAATCAAGTTGACAGTATTAACCATCACACATAGGTACCACAAAGCACTGGCAGATCTGACACAAAAAGAACCCTGTTGATTATGCGTGGTATCAATGGCAATTACAGTTTTTTAAAAGGGTTTCCGCTCCCAGAAAAATAGGTAGGCAATAAAGGGTATTGAAAAATGCCCTCGCTGAAGAATATTGAGCTAAAAATCAGGTAGTAAAGGCCTGTTAAGGATAGGTGAACAAGACGGAGTGCTTTGTATGTCAGCAGCCTTTGCCTAGATAGGAGCAGATGGGCAGAAAAGTGATCATGGGTAGTTTCCCTCAACTTGTCTGTCTGACACCAAAGTTTAGGCAGATCTCTCTGTAATCTCTCGGTGTATGCGAAGAAAAAGAAATAAAGCAGCCTGAAATGAAACCTCTGAAATACTGTGGAACGAGGGAAGATTTATTAATGAAAATAATTGTAATAAAACATTAATTTCAGTAATTTGACTGATAGTGGTTTATGAACACCGTGTTTTATATCAGTAGTGCTCAAACTGTGTCTTAGGGACTCTGCAAATAGTGAAATATTTAACCCCTTAATTTCTTTGGTCAGGTTGACATTTTGGGGTTCCTTATAAGATTTTGTATGAGGGAAAAGTGCAACTGCTGCTTTCTTAATATGATTCACAAAGAAAATTATTTTAAAGAAATTTCACAAAATGAATCAATCCAATTGGATTAGAAGATCTTCACTGATCACCATTAAATATTTTATTGTGAAACTAGGAGTGCTGAATTTACTGAGAGTCATGAGAAACTTCAGAATGTAGGAAACATTAGTGTCTGGAAACATTTAAAGAAAATAAGCTAAATTGCATACTTCAGGAGCCTCCAAGGGCCTCAGTGAATGAGAAGACAGAAGAAACAACTGGGACAGCTTGGCTGTTTTAGTATTATAACCTAAATCTTTATCTTAGTGTAAGATCTAAGAGTATCACTGAATTTCAGGGAGATACATGCTAAAGAACTATATAGAACAGCTTTCTCCAGAGGCATTTGCTGCCAGATAGTAGTAAGTTTATAGGAAAATAAGTGATAGCAAATTGGGTATGTCTTGATGCAGATTCCATATTCTCAAAGAAAGGGAGAAAAGTACACAAAAGCAAAGAAAAAGTTTAAAAGTAAAGAAGGCTGCCAGTATTCATATGGCAAGATAGTAGTGTGTGCAGAGTTTTTTCAGACCCTGTCAATGTATTGGACCCTGTTTTATTTTTAGAATGGCTAAAGGAGAGTACTTCCAATGTCACCCAAAAGGTGATCAAGACTGAATGTAGATCTTGACTTTCCACCTTGGAGCTAGTTGCTGCTTCCTTGCCTTACCTTCTGCTACTGTAGCCAGCTAAGATGCCAGCAGGTTGGGGTGGACGACCAATGATGTTTGTTGCATCCTCCATTCCAGTATGTGCCCATCAGCTTAGAATTCTGTCAGAACTTCAATGCATCTTGCTCTTCTCATCCTTAGAAATCTCAAGACTACAAAATAAGAACATCCTCCTCACAAAGTGGTGGGAATAATTTGAGAAGTCACTTAACTTCTAGGACTCAGTTTCCTCACCTATAAAATGGAGTTAACAGTCCCTACCTCATAGGAATGTCTTGATGATTAAGGGAACTAATGCCACTTAATAAGTACTACACTAAAACATTATAGCTAGTTTTAAAAATAATATGCTTTGATTTCATGTTTTATATGTGGAAATTTTAGTTTTGAATATATGGAGGATATACCACTTTCTGGCCTATTGCCTATTAAAAAGGGATAAAGTGTACCTTTTTTTTTTTTTTTTTTTTGACACAGTCTCTCTCTCTTGCCCAAGCTGGAGTGCTGTGGTGCTATCTTGTCTCACTGCAACCTCAATCACTGCAACTTCAATCAATTCTCATGTTTCAACCTCTTGAGTAGCTGGGATTACAAGTGTGCGCCACCACACTTGGCTAATTTTTGTATTTTTAGTAGAGATAAGGTTTCACCATATTGGCCAGACTTGTCTTGAACTCTTGGCCTCAAGTGATCTGCCTGCCTTGGGCTCTGAAAATTCTGGGATTACAGGCATGAGCCACCGCGACCAGTTAGAAAGTATACATTTTTTGATGGATAGTTTCATAAACAGCATAATAACATATAGTCATCAAACCACATATCATGTCCTGAAACTCAGACTGTGTTCTTTAATGGATTTTCTAAAACATCAATCTCTATAATAGCTTTATTAGGCTGAATTGGGCACCCCCAAATTCATGTGTTGAAGGCCTAATTCCTAGTACCTCAGAACATGACTGTATTTGGAGGGTAGGGATTTTAAATAGGTGATTAAGTTAAAATCAGTTTGTTAATGCGGGCCCTGATCCGATCTGACTGGTGTCCTTATACAAAGAACAAATTTGGACACATAAAGACCTACTGGGTATGTGTTCCTACAGAAGACAGATCATGTGAGGACACATTGAGAAGACAGCCATCTGCAACCCAAGGAGAGAGGTCACAGAAGAAACCAAACCTGCTGATGTCTTGATTTTTGGCTTCTAGTCTCCAGAGCTGTGAGACGATAAGTTTCTGTTGTTTCAGCTACCCAGTCTGTGGTACTTTGTTATGGTAGTCCTAGCAAACTCATACAGTTGTCCTGTTTTTAGTGATTTTGGTTTGATCTTTGAGTGTAAGTGGTAACAGCCTTATTTGCCCATTATAGGGTGCTTTATTATCTTTTTTTTCTAATTGTTTTAGCATCTATTGATGGTTTTATCTAGATCCATTATTTCATCAGGGGTCAAAAATGGTAATTTTAATATAATCACCCTTCCTTTTTTTAGCACTGTGCTTCTATACTGAAGAATTTTTGTTCACCAACTATTTGGTTACTGTGAAATTGTCTGTATTGCAAAGGTACAATAAATGCTTGATTGGATTCTTTCTCTTTTTAAATTCATTTTTAGATTCTGACATCTTCCATATCACCTGAGAATCCTAAATTTCAGGTTTGGGGATTTGAATTTATACTATTAGGGTGAGCCAAAGACTTCCAAACTGAGAAATATATAAAGTATCCCTGGGCTGGTGATACCTTTGAAACACCTGGCAGATACATTGTGAAACTCTGTTTCGAGGAGGGACAGGTTCTCAAGGTCCCATGCTAGTCTCATGATAAAGGTAAGTTTATTTCCCAAGCTGCAGAATCCATGAGGAAATGAATGAGAGTTAATATATCCCCAGAAAATTTAGGTAAACCCAGATCTCAGTCTTTGGTCTTTTCTCTGTCCATACTCACAAACTTGTAGATATCATTTATTTTCATGGCTTTAGAGAACCATCCCAAATTTAAATCTTTTTTTCAGAGATCTTATACCTAAGTATGTCACAAACCAACTCCTGACTGTCCTTTCTGCTTCACTGGCAGCCTTTCCCATACCCATTGATGGCAGTTTCATCTTTACAGTTGCTTATGACAAAGAATTTGGAGATCCTTAGCTCCCTGTAGACTCAACTCTACATCCAATCTGTCTGGAAATCATGTCTGCTTTACTTTCAGTATATATCTAGAATTTGACCATAACTTAACACCTTCACTGCTATCACCTTAATCTAACTTTTGGCTATATTCCTGTAGCAGCATTTTTCATCATAATAGGGTTTGTCTGATAGAAGAGTTAGTTGATACTTTTCATAAACATAGTCCTGTTTTACACTCAGAGAGTTTTATTTAAAAATAAATATAATAATTCATTTAAAAAGTACTGCTTTATCTCATTTTCTTTATGTAATTATGAGTAAATTAAGAGTTTACTAGGAAAAGGGCAGAAGCTTGTAGAAGTGTATTGTATACTAGGACAAGCATTTTGATTCAACCAGAATCATATGAGTTTGTAAATCATAATTTAGTTTCTAATTAGGTTTTTTTCCCATGTAGTACAACCTAATGTACTTAAACATTGGTTTGACTCTTAGGTGAATTTATATGAAATAAAGAATGTGGTTTGTACCTGATATGTTTGAATTTCCTTTCAATGCCCAAAGAGAGAACAGTAGCTCTAATTGCCATAAATTCATTTCAGCAAGATATATACTCACATACAAGACTGTCTGTGGTATTGAGGGGGACTACAAAAACTTGAGCTACTGCTTATACCCTTTCTCTGGGAGCTTACAAGTAGAGGAAGAATCAGATGTACACATTAGTGTGGTATCTGGTGACTCAAAGACATAAGTACTACACAAAGGCATAGGTAACAGGTGAACGAAGGTATCAGATGAACAAAGGTAAAAGCTGTTTAGGAACAGAGAAACAAAAGTTCTAGAAATGTAAAACTCTCTTTTGGGGAAGATGGGGGATAAATAAGTAAACAAGCCCAAATTTCTTGGCTTCCCAAGCAGTGCTTTATTGGTCACTGTTTTATCTGCTAGGAGATACCTCGGTTTTTTTTTTTCCTCCATTATCTGGCAGTTTTTTGGAGCCATATCTTTTGGGTAACCTAGTATAGTTGCGTCTCTATCAAACAAAATGTCTCTGTGTGTGACAATTCCTCTTCCCTGAAGTAAAAATGATTTTGAAGCCAAGTCAATGTGCTTGTCTGTGAAGCCGCCTTTCATCTGAATCCTTTCTTGATTGCTGATACATCAAGAAGAATATATGTATCTAGTAAGAGTATAGCAAATTAGACAAATACTTACTATCCACACTTGGTTAAAACAATGCTTTATGTCATATTAATATATTTCACATAAGGTAAATATGTTTTAGCCCATATTTCCCCTTCTAAGACGTCAACCTGAGAAGCAGTTGGGGGGAAGAAGGCTCCATTTGAGTTCAGGCTCAAGTCTTTATTTAGATGTTTTCCTTTGAGAACCCTGACAATTTTTGCCTGTTCTCTCCCAGTCAACTGGCTTAGAACCCCTCTCACCCTCTCATATGCTTTCATAGCACATGTCTTTGTTATTCTTTATGTTCTGTGACAAAATAATAGTTTTTCAGCAAATAATTACTGAATAGTAACTGAAAAGAAATTTCCTGATTTTATTTTCTTCTTTACTGTATCTTTATGGTCCAATCAGAAATATTATTGGCACCTTTATTAAAATTGTATTTAGATGTGTCATGTCCTGGATTGCTCAAGAATCTCCAAAAATAATGAAAACTCTTCTTTGGAACCAGAACTTGTGTACTCATCATGTGGTGATTTCTGAAAGTCCCTTATAAATACTGACATGCACACACCATTTTGAAAAGTGTATTTCAGCATTTTGTACAATTCTCTTAATTCTGCATGCAATTTCTACCTTTCATATATTTTTCCCATAAGAAAGTAGTATGTAAAAAGTGAATATATAGGTCCTGTTTATTGTTACTTTCATTCGTCTTTAAAATTCATTCTTTTATGAAAGAGAAGTAGCAATTAAAATGGACAGAACTAATCAGAACACATGTCTGCATTTCTTCAGTAGTATTTTATAATTCTTAAAGGTGTCACTTGGATTGAAAGACTGCAGTGGGCATTCAAGTCTAAGTGCCTGAGATATGTTTGTAAGAAAAAAAAAGGAAAAATGAGTCAGTTTACAAGAATAAAATGCTATTCAACTTTAATTGAAGTGTGTGACTTAAGAACCTATGGGACAAGATATGAAGTACTGGTAGTAAGTACAATGCGAAATTCATATTACTTTTTGTCATTAAGGTTGTTTATTATGCATTGCACTATGCCTAACTCAACAACCCAGAGAAGATAGAAGAGAAGTAGAGATAAGGAAGGTGAGAGGTAGCTAGATTGAGATGGGAAAAATACTTATAGATGCGAACACCAAATTATATGCAGAACCATTTAAACTGTTGAAGTTGACTTCATCATGTTCAAACACAGAAGTATGTAACACCAACAATTACTTAAGAAGACTGTGGTCTCTCTTTCTGTCATTTGTGTTGGACAGTTTGAATTAATAAATTAGCAGTTTCAAATGCAGTTTTCATTAATGCAGCATAGAATTATAAAATGACAGTTTAGAAATCACCTGACACAATCTGTTTGTGTAGATGAAGTATCTGATATCTTTCACAAAGATTGAACAGTAATATGAGAGGGATCCTGGATTACAAACTCTGTCACCAAATAATACCGGTACTTGAAATATTCATTGAACTAAGTAAGGCACATACATTCCATCGGCATCTAGCCATAACTGTGAGAAGCTGTTTTAATTTCTACTTAATATAGGATTACTTTCTGTGTCCTAAGGTATTCTTAAATGAGTCACAAACAGATTTGGTGATTATCTGTTGTTTTGCAAACTCAGCTATTTTACGTTTTTGCAGTATTTCACAGATCATTGACTATAGTGTTGCTAGCATTTCTTTGCTATGGCCTGCTTGGATTTGGACTTCTTTTATTTCAGTTCTTCCGTACTCACAATAGACATCAAGAAGATTCAGTATCAGTAGGGTGAGCTGACATGTAATCAGTTTTACAAAATAATTAATATCTGGGCAGCTCATCTGACAGAGTTATTATGTATGGTATTCTGCTCATGTGAACAGCCACGGATTCCAAGGCCCACTTCAACAAAGCAGTTACGGATTATTGTTGGGATTGCTGTGCCCTGTATAACAATGAGATTTCCCTTACATTAAGAACATGGTATTTATTTATATCTACAAAAGGAATGCTCTTTCTCATTTTCTGGAGACATAAGGTACTGAACACTTATAGTATACAACCTTTAGGTGATTAATTATGCTAAACTTAATGGTTACAAATACATTATGGTGCTTGTAAGCAAACAAAATATATGTACATATTTTTAAGTGCCCAGGAGGTATGGATAATTTTTTTTTAAAAAAAGACAAAATTTAGAAATATTATTTGCCCTGAGATGGTTTGAACTGGCTAAATTATTTAAGCATTTTATTTTCTAAGTTGGTATACTTTGCTCCTTTTATAAATTTATCAATTTTACCTCACTTGAATTTTTATCTTAAGAAATATATTGATAATTGCTAAGGGAGCTCTAAATTCTTTGGTCATTTCTCTTCTTGATTTTTCTTTCTTGTTCACTAACAGGATTTTTACCCTTTGAGAAATATTTAATTTGGTGGGGTTTTTTTTGTACCATGACTTTATGCATGTGGTATAACAGAAAAGACACATAATAAACATGAGCATTCTAATAATGACAAAATTGGGAGGACTGTCTTGAGTTCTATAGGTACTGTTACGGACTGAATTGTGTCCCTCACACCCTGCCTCAAAATTCATATGTTAAAGGTTTAACTCCCAATGTGACTGTATTTGGACATGAGGTCATAAGGGGAAAATTAAGGTTAAATGAGGTCACAGGGTGAGACCCCAATCTGATAGGACTAGTGTAATTATAAGAAGAGGAAGAGACATCTGAAATATACACAAACAGAGGAAAGGACATGTGAGGACTCAGCAGAAAAGTGGCCATCTGCATGCCAAGAAGAGAGGTCTTACCAGAAAGAAACTCTGCCAATGCCTTGATCTTAGACTTTCAGCCTCCAGAACTATAAGACAAAAAATTTCTTTGGTTTAAGCCACCCAGTCTGTGGTATTGTGTTATGGTAGCCCAAGCAGAATAGTGCATATTTTGGTACTGTGAATTGGTATTCTCCTGTAACAATCACATAAAAATGTAGAAACACTTTGGAATTAGGTAACGTATGGAAGCTGGAAGAGTTTTGGTGCATCTGTTAGAAAAAACCTAGATTGACTTGAAGGAGTCATTGGTAGGAATGTGGATGTTAAAGATGATTCTGGTGAAGTCTCAGATAGAAATGAGGACTGTGTCATGGGAAATTGGAAGAAGGTAGTCCTTGTTATAAAGTGGCAACAAAATAAAAGAAAAACCTTGGCTGAATTGTATTCTAGTGCTTTGTGGAAGGTAGAACTTGTGAGTAATGACCTTGAGTATTTAGCAGAGTAGATTTGTAAGCAAAATGTTGAAGATGTGGCCCACTTTCTCCTTACCACTTACAGTCACCTCAAAAGGAGAAAGATGAATCGTACAAGGAATTTTAAGCTAAAGGGAACCAGAAATTAAGATTCTGAAAATTGTCAGACTGTTTATATTGTATAATAAATATTGGAAAGCATGTTCTGGAGAGGACACTCAATGTATGGTTGGACAATCTTTCCATTCATAAAACTGTGATGGGATTATAGCAGCAGAGATACTGCCATTTTGGATTAAAGGAGACAAGACAGGACAAAATAAAGGAAGGCTTTCAGACTTCTGGGATTCTACAGAAAAGGACCACAGGCCTATCTGGCTATGAATATGCCTTATCAACTTCAACAAAAGATAAGGACCTGAAGATGATACAGAGATGCCTCCACAGGCCCAGAGCACACAGACTCACAGGGCTAAGGCTGTTTCTTCCTCAGTTTCAGAGTATAGGGCCATCTCTTCAGTTTTAGTGGTTGAATATTTGTATACTTGTGTCCATAGCCTTAGGGGCAAGGCTGCCACCCAGAGCCAAGGGAGCAGGCCTACCATCTCAGTGGGCCAAGAAAGCAAAGCCACTGTTATGGTGGGCCTGTATGTCAGACCATTAAGCCAGAAAGGATTATTACTGTGCCTTAATATCTAATGGAATTTGTCTTGCTACTTGATGAACTTGCTTGCGACCTGCCACCCCTTTCTTTGTTCTGATTTCTTCCTTTTGGAATGATTCCGAATGGCAACCCTATGCATGTGCCACCATTGTATCTGAGAAGCGTATACATTGCATGTTTTCAGTTTCACAGCTGGAGAGGAATTTTGCCTCATGATTAGTCATACCTTGAGTCTCATCCATACCTGATTTAGATGATATTTAGATGAGACTTTGGATTTGGAGTTAATGCTAACGTGAGTTAAGACTTTTGGGAGCTGTTGGGATGGAGTGAATGCTTTTTTGCATGTGAAGAGGACATGAATTTGGGGGTCCAGAGGGAGGAATGTTACAGATTGAATTGTGTCCTCTCCCCTAAATCCATATGTTGAAGTCCTAACCCCCAATTTGGAGATAAGGTTTTTAAGGAGGTAATTAATGTTAAATGAGGTCAAAAGGGTGGGGCTGTAACCCAGTAGGACTCCTGTCCCTAAAAGAAGAGGAGGAGACACCAGAAATACACATGCACAGAGAAAAGGCCATGTGAGGACACAGCAAGAATGTGGCTGTCTGCAAGCCAAAATGAGAAGCCTCACCAGAAAACAACCCTGCCAGCATCTTAATTTTGAGTTTCCACCATTCAGAGCTTTGAGAAGATAAATTGATGTTGTTTAAGCCCCCCAGTCTGTGGTATTGTGTTATTGAAACCCAAGCAGACTAGTACATATATCATACTGACAAAGTATAACTTTTTTTACATTTAGAAAACCAATGTTGATAATAAAATTTCGAAAGAAGGGTGTAAAAACTCAAGACAAAAGTAAACTTCTCCTTTTTTTGTTAATGAATGCCAATAACTTTGAGTAGATGGTATTGTTATTAGATGTCGAAATAATTAGTTTTTTAAATTCATAGACTATTTTTAGACTAGTCTGTTTATAGAAAAAATGAGTGGAAAGTTACAGAAAGTTCCCATTTGTTTCTGTATGGAAAGTACAGAGTACTTCCTCTTACCCTCCAGTTTCTCCTATCATTAATGTCTTGTATTAATGTGGTATACTTGTTACAATTGATCAATGAATATTAACTAAAATTAATAATTTACATTAGGATTCATTCTTGGATTTGTATAGTTCCGTAGGTGTTAACAAATGTATAACATCATGTATCCACCATTACAATATCATACGGTATTTTTTCACTGCCCTAAAATTCTCCTACATTTCACCTGTTCATCCTTCTCCTCCCCCCACAGATTCTTAGATGTTTATACAAAGTGATGAAACTGCTAGAAAGCACTAAAGTTGGAAATTGTCTTTCTTTACTATTCTGATAGAAAATATAGACTATTTTACAAAGGTCAATGCATGAAATACAAACATATTTTTTCTGTTGTCTAATGACTTTAAAGACTAATATGTCAGTGTTTAATTGGCTTATTTTTTTGCTATTGAATTTTAGAAGATTATTATATATTTTTATATTAACACCTTATCTAAATGGTTTCAAAATATTTTTATCCCCTTCCATAAGTTGCCTTTTCACTCTGTTGATTGTTTCCTTTGTGTGCAGAACTTTTTGGTTTAAAGTAGTCTTACTTGTCTATTTTTGGTTTTATTACCTGTCCATTTTGTGTCAAATTCAAGAAATCCTTGCCAAACCCAATGCCAAAAAACTCTATTTTCTTCCAGGAGTTTTACAGGTTCAGATCTTATCGTTTAAGTATTTAATTCATTTCGAGTTGATTTTTGCACATGGTGTAATATAGGGGTCCAATTTCATTTTTTTTTTTTTTTGCATGTGGGTGTCCAGTTTTCTCAGCATCATGTGTTGAAGAAACTGTCCTATTCCCCCACTGTGTTCTTGACACCTTTGTCAAAGATCGCTTGATCGTATATGCCTGATTTTGAGATAGCAAACAAGCAATTAAAAATGGGTAATAGACTTGAATAGACATTTTTGCAAAGAAGACATATGGCCACTAATATATGAAAGTGTTCTTAATATCAGTAATCATCAGGGAAAGGCA